CTCATGTAAGACTCCATAATATGTCCCAAATTTATCTTACTTTTTAAACATGTTATTGACTGTTTTCCTTGGTTTTCATATGTTTTCCTATGTTTTTTCCTGTTTTTCTATGTTTTCAACTATTTTCTCCTGTTTTCCTATGTTTTCCCCTGTTTTCTCCTGTATTTCTGTTTTCCCCTGTTTTCTCCTGTTTTCCTATGTTTTTCCCTGTTTGCCCCTGTTTTCCTATGTTTTCTCCTGTTTTCCTAGTATGTTTTTCTTGTTTTTCTATGTTTTCCTCGGCTTTCCTATGTTTTCTTACGTTCTCTCCTGTTTTCCTATGCTTTTGCCTGCTTTCCTGTGTTTTTCCCTGTTTTCCTATACGTTTTCCTCTGTTTTCCGTTGTTTTCCTATGCTTCCTCTTGTTTTTCTATGTTTTTCCCTGTTTTCTTCTGTTTTCCTATGTTTTTCCCTGTTTTCTTATTTTTTCTCCCTAGTTTTCTCTTTTTTTCTCCTGTTTTTCTATGTTTTCTATGTTTTCCTATGTTTTGCCCTTGTTTTTCCGTGTTTTCCTGTGTTTTCCCCTGGTTTTCTATGTTTTCCTCTGTTTTCCATCTTCATTATGGGTGATTTTAATATTAACTTGTTAAATTGTGAAAGTCATCCTGAATCTAATGATTTCTTACTAATGCTAAACTCTTTTTTTCTTCTACCCTATATTTTACAACCAACAAGTATTACTGAAAGATCAGCAACCCTCACTGATAATATATTTGCAAATACTTATGCTATGAATGCCATCAGTAGTAACCTAGTCTCTAAAATCTCTGATCATCTTCCTCAATTCCTGATTGTAGACAATCCCAAAGTAAACTATAAAGTTTTGAATTATTATAAAAATTACTTTTCCAAATTTGATGAAGAGAAATTTATCAATGATTTCTTACTTCTAGACTGGAATAGCATCTCAAGTGATTATATGGATGCCAACACTAAATTTGACATCTTCTATGATCAGATATCTCAATTTATAAATTCTCATGTACAACGTAGAAAGCTCTCCAAACGTGAAATTAAGTTATCTACTAAGCTCTGGATTACTAAACCTATTCTAGCCAAAATTCGATATAGAGATATATTCAAATCCAAATTTGATATACCTTCATAAGAAACTCAGGAATAGTGTTGTCAAAGATGTTAAAGCAAGCAAATCTGATTATTTCAAGAATTACTTTTTGTGTAATAAGAACAATATGAAAAAAATCTGGTCTGGAATTAGATCAATCATCAACATTAGTAAAGTTAAAGCTGCTTACATTCCTAGTATTTTAGAAAGTGGAAAAACTGTTGACAATCCCTGTGCTATTTCTAACATTTTTAATAATTTCTTTGTTAATGTTGGCAAAAACACTGACAAAGACATTTCGTGTGGGAACTGTTGTCCAACCTCTTTACTGAAGGGCAATTTTCCTGACTCAATGTTTCTCTCCCCTGTTACGTCAGTTGAAGTTGATTCATACGTCTCTCAAATGGACAATAACAAATCCATTGGTCCTTATAGTATTTCAGTCTCATTGCTAAAAATTCTTCAGACTCATATTTCCCCACTTATTTCATCGCTAATTAATGATTCTTTTCTCTGTGGTATTTTTCCCAGTAAACTTAAATTGGCAAAAGTTACCCCAGTTTTTAAGAAAGGCTCTAGGCAAGACAAAGATAACTATAGGCCAATATCAGTTCTATCTATTTTTAGTAAAATTTTTTAAAAGGCTGTGTTTAAGCGCCTTTATGGCTATCTTGAATTTCGTAACATTCTTTATCCACTTCAACTTGATTTTAGGCAAAAGTGCTCGACAAATCATGCTCCGATACAAGTTACTGAATCAATCCGTAACTCTAAAAAAGTCATTTGATACGGTTAATCATTCCATTCTTTTATCTAAACTGAATCATTACGGAGTGAGAGGTAAAACCTATGACTGATTTCATTCGTATCTGTCTAATAGGAAACAATTTGCATGTATAAATGGCCATAACTCTGATTCTCTGTCAATCACTTGTGGAGTACCTCAGGGATCCATTCTTGGACCTCTGTTGTTTTTGCTATATATTAATGATTTACCGAACACCTCGAAACTGCTCAGTTTTTACTTATTTGCTGATGACACTAATATATATTTTTCACGTAAAAAGCTTAACGATCTTAAACTAATCTTAAATCAAGAGCTCCATGCAGTGGCTGAGTGGATGAAATCTAATAGCCTAGCTCTCAGCGGAGCTCTGGCGTGCGAAGACGCGGACGCCTCGTGGTACCCATTCATTTAGATGGGTAGGGTCTTTTAAACCATTAGTGCACTGGCATGTGGCGGGAGTCGGGCGGGCGGGCAGGCAGGCCACCACAGGCATACCAACGCAAAATTTGGGGTAGTCTGTGTCGTCTGTGAGTGAAGTTTTTTTTTTGAGCGCGAAAACGAATGGCCACCCGCGTTTTGTAAAGGGTAATCTTAAAAGTTCAGCGAAGTCAATTCAGAACAAAAAGAAATTTTTCGTATCGGTTGACGGAAAACGAGAAAGTAGGCGGCAAGCAAGCCAAGCTCAACGAGAGAGAGAGAGGCAGAGAGCTATAGAAAGGAGGCGAAACTGCACTGACGAGCAACGGAAAAGGGAGAAAGAAAGAGACAGAGAAAGGAGACGCAATGTTACTGACGAACAACGGGAAAGGGAGAGAGAACGAGACAGAGAAAGGAGAAGCAATGTTACTGACGAACAACGGGAAAGGGAGAGAGAAAGAGACAGAGAAAGGAGAAGCAATGTTACTGACGAGCAACGGGAAAGACAGCAGGAAAGGGATAGAGAAAGGAGGCGCAATTTTACTGATGAGCAACGCGAGAGGGAGCACGAGAGAAACAGAGAAAGGAGGCAAAATTTCACTGAAGAGCAACTGGAGAATGAACGAGAGAGAGCAAGAGAAAATAAACGCCGAATTAGCGACGAGCGGCGAAGAAGAGGGCGAGAAACAGCAAGGGGAAACAGGCGTCGCATAAACGAAGAGGAGCGGGAAGGAGGAGAAGGTGAGGGACTATCTTCGAGGTTAGTTTACTGTTAATATATATGTAGCGGATAGAAGGCGTTTTTGGTTTTTACGAAAACACTTTGGGCGCTTTCCGTTTAGGAAAAAAACCCGGAAATTTCGGTGGGAGCAAAAGTGGAATTTCCGATTGGTAAAAAGTTGTTCCATTTGGCCGTAAACCCCGGTACGTCGCGGTGCCAGACGGTGAACCTGGAACTGGTACAAACTACGAGAAACGGAAATGGAACACAACATTCCGTTCGGAAATTCCAACCGGGAAAGCGGGCCCACCTTTTTAGATTTTCCACTTTTTCTGGGAATTTTCTAGTGGGATGTACCGCCGAACCGAAAATTCCGGAAATTTGGACTAAATGGAAAGCGCCCTTTGAAAACTGTCTGACTAGCTGTTGTTTTGTTTGTCTGACCAATCAGCACACGTCACTTGTTGTCACGCAGTGTCGTGTTTCAGACAGTCGAAGATCTTACATCTTGGGGGAAGTGTATTCCGTCTCTAGTAATTCGCCGCGGTTAAGATGTTTTGACATGTGTTTAAGTTCGGTTAAAAGAAAGGAAATTGAAGTTTCAATTTAACAAGACAGGCACATCGAAGATGTTACAGTATAGTACTCATCGATGTATCTTCGATCTTTCTGGTGCGCGGAAAACCACGTGAAAACCCAAGCTAATCTTAATTTCATCGAGAATTTAGTTAAATAACCATTGGCATTGTTTTCTGTCCGATGCGACCGTGCAATGAATCGCTCAATAAAACTCCTGTCGTGACTGTTCGTCATTCTGTAAGCTTACGTAAGCGTAAAAATTTTTGCCGCGACTCTGGCCTTCGTGGCAAGTGAGAAATTTTTCAGTGTTAGAGGATCGTAAATTACATGTAAACAGCCTAATGTCTGTGAAAGCGTTGTTATGTTTTCTGAAAAGTCTTTGAGATGTCACTTGTTTCATCCTTGTGCCTGGCGGACAGTAGCTTGAATTTAAACATGTTTTGCCCTGGTTTTGCCATGATGCTATTTGAAAGAGCTAATTTGTTGCAGATTGTGCGAGTTCATGCAGGCCCGCTATTTACTTTTTTAGGGTAAACAGAATTAAAATGTGCGTCAGATTTGCTTTTGTCAAGTGTAAGAGGTATTCGGCTGGCTATTCTCCCTCTTGTAATTGAAATAACTTTTTTTTAAGTATTAGGCTTTTCCATTTTGTAGATACCTATCTTCTTATATTTTTTTATGTAAATAGGAAGGTCATGAAGTCAGTGCTCGAAATGATTTTTGAATAGTGGCCGGTCATCACGTTGACAGGCCAAACAAATCTTAGCTCGGGCATTGTTTCCTGCCAAACAAATTGTAGCTCGGACCGGTCAAAATACACTAAAACTTCACGAATGAGAACCTGCGTTAACAGGCAAATTAAGACAAAAAATTTTCCCATAAATGCTCTAAAACTCCCTGTATTGCGAGATGGGGAAATATTGAATTTAGGACGAACATATCTTAATTATTATAAACCACTTTTGAGTGCGGTTATCAAGTTACTAAAGTAACATTTTTTAAAAAAACAATGAGCTAAGCCATGTAAAAGCAGTTATTTCAATTTTCAGGTCCTTAATGTTGACCGGCCAAATCTTGACCCAACATATTACGTTGACCGCCTGTAATTTTGAGCCTTGACGGTCTGGTCTTGTGGATTAGTTGTTTTTACATACAACTCACTACAGTACCTATCAACCTAATTAAGAGCCAAATATTTCATTCATTTGAGGGAACAGTGTAGTAAACTGTCTATTGTGAGGCTCAGCTCTTTTATTTTTCAATTCCCATGTAAGATTATACTCAATATTGTTCTGAATTGTTTTCTTTGGACAACAGGTGTATGCATAAGTATTATGTAGGGGGTGAGGTAAAATCCTTGCTCAACTGAAGAATTTTAAAATCTTATCTTCTTAGTCATAGAAGAAGATGAAAGTGAGGTCCTCCAAGTTGAATGTAGGATGGAATGCTCTCTTGTAGGTGAACAAGAGCAAAGACATTCAGCAGGTACTGATTATGGTAGATGGTATTTATTTTGAAAGTTAATAATACACAGGAAAAAAAGTTTGAACCGCATTGCTTTAGAGTGCCAGAGCAGTTTTTAATTAACACAGTGCGAAAACTAGGAAACACAAATGCAGAAAGCAAAACAATGCGAATTTCTCAGATAATGAAAAACTGTGATTGGCTAATAAACGTTAATAGAAATATAGATCAGAACCAATTGGGTGCCACACCTTGCTGGCGGGAAGCATGCATACTTAATTTTATCCTTTTTCTTTTGTAGTTAACACTTTTTTTCCTTACATTTTATTTCATTATAAATGTACTTAATTATTTTTATTTCTTTATTCATTGTGGGTTGTGTTTTATTTTATTGTTTTCACCAAGATTTTGAAATATACACCTATTTCAATTAAGGTTGTTCCTGTGAGCCATGTTTCATAGCTTGCAGTGCACCATGGTAAACCCTTTTGTAGTGGGAAGTTCAGTCTTGTTCACATTCATTGAAATAATGGAGACCATTTGTGAGAAGGCTTTCAAGAGAGCTTTCAACTCAAATGGCTGCTAAAAATCTTAAACATGAGCGAGCTGAAGAATTTCATTTTTAAAATTTTTAAAATCTCACAGTAAGAAATTAGAAGTCTCTTCTTTTAACAACATCAAATGGATAGGGTTTTACTGCCTGATTAAGCTGCGCTTTTGCATGGGCCAGAATGTTGGTTATTTCAATAAAGCAAATCAATGCTAGTCTTTTTTTTATTCAGCATTTAAAAAAATTGCCACAAGAATAGATGAACACATAATGTTAAGTTATTTATTGTAATTAAAAAAAGAGCTTGAATTTGATTTTTTTTAACTCAAAAAATTCCCACGTGCACGGGCCGGGCAAACTCATTGAAAATTTGCAACATTTGCATATTACCACAGAGAAAAACCTTACCTCAAATCACTGTCTTAAATTAAAAGGCCTATGATTCAGTGTTTTGAAATACATTGTCTTAACGTTCTGCTGACGTAGCATAGAAGCGTCAGCAGCCTTTGCTTTCTAGGTTTCTAGGCTTGTTGCGGGAACAAAATTTACTAGACTTGCCACAATAATGCACCGCAGGCTATGAAACATGGATCATGCATCATTCTTCTCTGAAGCAACCTTAATTGAAATAGGTGTATACAAAGGTGTGTGTGTGTGTGTGACAAATAGATATTTTTTTGATGGATTCAAAAGAGCAGCTATATAATTCTTTAATGATGAGGCATTTTCTCATGTATTTCAAGCATTGCTGTTGTGCCTAATATGACACGACATCATGTCTGTTTAGTTAATTCTGCTGACTGGTTTGTGGGAGTTTTTGTTTTGTTGGCGTTTGATTGTACATATTATGGGAAAACGTACCTTTAAGTTTGTATTACTTTGATTTACACACAGTTAAAAATACATTGAATTAATATAGAGATAATTATTTTTCTAATTATAATTGATGATTAATAATTGATTGGTTTGGTCACTCTGATTAGTTGACTGATTTATGAAATCTCAGTCAATATCACCACTTAGAAAATGATTGTCAAGCCTTGTTGTATTATCTTGAGTTTGGAAAGTATATGGTGTATTTTCTTTTGAAATCCGGTTTTGACAACCCTTCAAAAGATATAGCAATTGTAATAATAATAATGCTTGTACACAAACAGTTCTTGAGGGTGCAAAGAAACTGAGTTTTACAGTTTGACCTATTTGGGCAGGCTGTAGCTTGCAACTATTAGCCCAAGAGTCACAGCTTTTGTTATTATGCTTCGATCACCAGTTCCTGCAATTGAATACCCAAAAAACTTCACTTACCCCTCAAGCAAGATGAAAAGTAGAATCCACTAGCCCCATACCTTATATTAATTAATGTGTAGTTGGTAAATACAAATAATTCATTCACTAGGAGAAGAGTTGGAAAAGGACACTCCTGTAGTAGAAAATGGCCCAATTGAGGGAGCAAGCAATTCGCAGGGAACACAGCAATCTCTTCCAGAAGAAAATAATTGTAGCCAGTTAGAAGATGACCGTCTCATTGCTAGAGCAAGGGCAGTTGGTGTGGACTATGAGTTTGCAAAGCCTGGTGTAGTGGAAACAGAGGATGACAGAAGAAAAAGAAAGCGGCGAAACCAAAGACGAATATCAGAACAAGAGAAAAGGTTGCGAGAAGTTGTTGGAGGTCTACCTCCACCTCCACCAGCAGGTTCAAGTCAGCAAGAAGATAAGGCGTACAGTGCTATGCGTGCATTTGAGGTGGAGCAGATGACTTACGCATTCAGTTTTTGTGAGGTCTGCAAGGAATGACGACTGGAGTGCAAGGGCACAAGAAACATGTGTACTCGCTGCAGGAGAGATAAGAAGGCACCAAAAGTTTGGTCAGGAGAGAATAACATGGATCCAATGGCTGTTCCTGAGATTTTGTCTGACATGTCAGATGCTGAACAGATGCTGATAGCCAGGCTAGGACCTACCGTGCATGTACACTTACTGAAGCATGGAGGTGTCGCTTCAAAGGGGCATTGCATTGCATTCCCACGGGCTGTGCAAGAACCGGCAACTATCTTTGATTTGCATAACAAATAACAGTGCCGTTATGCTTTAATTAGCCTGTGTGGCTGAGGGCCTTTGTGGCCATGCATAACAAATGAACTGCCCGTTGCTGTAATAAACCTGTGTGGACAAGGGTCTACTATGTGGCCACACCTAACAATAAAAAGGCTCTTAAGTTGAGATTGGCATTAGGGCTTGTGTTGAAAGGGATATTACTGCAAAAGCCAGTTTTTCAGCCAAAAAATAAGTTCTTGGAATTATTTCATTTTAGCAATATTGTTTTGTTAAGTCTCCTTACTTTATTTAACTTACAGCAGAAACCTGCATGTTTGATGAACCTACTTTTTGAAATTCAGTGAACTCTCGCCTTGTGGACATCTTTCTATAAGGAACACCCTGATAATATGGATGGCAGCTAAATACCAAGCAAAAATAAATTACAGACGTTTGACTGAAATAAACTTCCGCTATTATGGACTATCACTAATGAAGACACTAACTCAAGCTCCTTATATTGTCCACTTTATTAAGGAAGTTGACTGTATGGCAAAATAGGTTCTTGTACTTTGGATAGTTATTGGCAATTAATATTTATGCATACTTAGTAAGTTCTGGTTAAATTAGGTCCATTTTTCTCTATGAAAGATATAATATTATGGTCTTTAAGCAGCAGAAAAATACTGTTTTTGCTTCAGTTCTAAAATCCATAAGTGTATCTCTATAGTTTATCATAGTTAAACTATAAACCAATAATAAAAGAGCCTCCTTGATCTTTCTTGGTTTAAAACATGTAGGTTCTTGTATTATTGGTCATTAAAATGGATCATTTCTGCTCATAGGTTTTTTAAGTAAACCACTACTATTACATGCTGGTTTTGACTGTACATGTAGTTATCAAACCTCATTGCTCTTGGTATTTCCTCAATTACATGCTAATGGCATTTGTTTTCACAATTTCACTGCCAAAGGTAGGTAAAGTTCACATATGCCATGTTACAGTTATGGGCTTAGTATCCTAGCCTTGAGTCAATGCAAAGCTGAGGTTGACCTTTTTTGATACAAACCTGCTTCCTTTTCTTATGGAAATTATGCTTAAAAATACTAGTTAGCATAAAAACAACATAATTTACATAATCAAGCAGGAAAGGTTGTATGAATACATTACAAGGTCAACTCCAACCTTGTTTTTACCTTTAACTGTAAAATGGACTATTTAAATAAAATTATAAGCCTCATTTTGTAAAATGGTGAAAGACATGTTTTAAAATAGTACTACTTACAAAGAGCTTTCACTTGAATAGTCACACCATACAATGTAGGATTTGTCTTCAAAATCAAAAGGTAAATAATTATTAACTATCTTACAAGACTACATTGTTCACTTTGCAAGTGAAAGGGTTAATAGAATCCGGACCGGGCTCAGTATTTTTTAGGAAAAGCTTTTTTCCCTTTTTCCTTAGTAGTAGTGTATTAGCTAGGTATGGTAAATTTAGAGATAGTCAACAAGTTATTGAAGTCAAACATGTGATGATAAAAAACTATAGAGATAATTGCATAGTTAGACTTAATTAGTACATATATTTCTTCAATAACCACACATGAGCTTCTGGATATAGACTGTGCTGAACTGCCGAATAGATTCCATAAACAATATTTCACATTCATCGTCCTCGACTGCTGATTCCGTGAACAACTGTCAGATAAATACTAAACCTTAACCTGTTATCCCAGTGTAAACAGCTTCAATATAAAGTGAAGTCTATGCCTTTGTTCAAAGTCACTGGTGCCAACGGTATTACTGCAAAACAGGCTGGTGCTCCAGGTACGTCATCATCGCTACCAAGATTAATCGAGTATGTATGCTACAATAACAGTTCTTTTAATCATCAGCTTGGAAGCTAGCCAATAGATTTTCCGTGTTTACGACAGACTCAAAATTATTCAAGGAGCATACACATACTGAAAATCAAAACCTCCATTATAAACTGCATTGTTCTTTCCCCAAGACACCCACAACCAAAACTGAAATTGTCAGGCTAATTGACCAGATGCCGTAGAAATTGGAGAATGACCATATGAATGGTTTCAGAAGAAAATAATTGTAGCCAGTTAGAAGATGACCGTCTCATTGCTAGAGCAAGGGCAGTTGGTGTGGACTATGAGTTTGCAAAGCCTGGTGTAGTGGAAACAGAGGATGACAGAAGAAAAAGAAAGCGGCGAAACCAAAGACGAATATCAGAACAAGAGAAAAGGTTGCGAGAAGTTGTTGGAGGTCTACCTCCACCTCCACCAGCAGGTTCAAGTCAGCAAGAAGATAAGGCGTACAGTGCTATGCGTGCATTTGAGGTGGAGCAGATGACTTACGCATTCAGTTTTTGTGAGGTCTGCAAGGAATGACGACTGGAGTGCAAGGGCACAAGAAACATGTGTACTCGCTGCAGGAGAGATAAGAAGGCACCAAAAGTTTGGTCAGGAGAGAATAACATGGATCCAATGGCTGTTCCTGAGATTTTGTCTGACATGTCAGATGCTGAACAGATGCTGATAGCCAGGCTAGGACCTACCGTGCATGTACACTTACTGAAGCATGGAGGTGTCGCTTCAAAGGGGCATTGCATTGCATTCCCACGGGCTGTGCAAGAACCGGCAACTATCTTTGATTTGCATAACAAATAACAGTGCCGTTATGCTTTAATTAGCCTGTGTGGCTGAGGGCCTTTGTGGCCATGCATAACAAATGAACTGCCCGTTGCTGTAATAAACCTGTGTGGACAAGGGTCTACTATGTGGCCACACCTAACAATAAAAAGGCTCTTAAGTTGAGATTGGCATTAGGGCTTGTGTTGAAAGGGATATTACTGCAAAAGCCAGTTTTTCAGCCAAAAAATAAGTTCTTGGAATTATTTCATTTTAGCAATATTGTTTTGTTAAGTCTCCTTACTTTATTTAACTTACAGCAGAAACCTGCATGTTTGATGAACCTACTTTTTGAAATTCAGTGAACTCTCGCCTTGTGGACATCTTTCTATAAGGAACACCCTGATAATATGGATGGCAGCTAAATACCAAGCAAAAATAAATTACAGACGTTTGACTGAAATAAACTTCCGCTATTATGGACTATCACTAATGAAGACACTAACTCAAGCTCCTTATATTGTCCACTTTATTAAGGAAGTTGACTGTATGGCAAAATAGGTTCTTGTACTTTGGATAGTTATTGGCAATTAATATTTATGCATACTTAGTAAGTTCTGGTTAAATTAGGTCCATTTTTCTCTATGAAAGATATAATATTATGGTCTTTAAGCAGCAGAAAAATACTGTTTTTGCTTCAGTTCTAAAATCCATAAGTGTATCTCTATAGTTTATCATAGTTAAACTATAAACCAATAATAAAAGAGCCTCCTTGATCTTTCTTGGTTTAAAACATGTAGGTTCTTGTATTATTGGTCATTAAAATGGATCATTTCTGCTCATAGGTTTTTTAAGTAAACCACTACTATTACATGCTGGTTTTGACTGTACATGTAGTTATCAAACCTCATTGCTCTTGGTATTTCCTCAATTACATGCTAATGGCATTTGTTTTCACAATTTCACTGCCAAAGGTAGGTAAAGTTCACATATGCCATGTTACAGTTATGGGCTTAGTATCCTAGCCTTGAGTCAATGCAAAGCTGAGGTTGACCTTTTTTGATACAAACCTGCTTCCTTTTCTTATGGAAATTATGCTTAAAAATACTAGTTAGCATAAAAACAACATAATTTACATAATCAAGCAGGAAAGGTTGTATGAATACATTACAAGGTCAACTCCAACCTTGTTTTTACCTTTAACTGTAAAATGGACTATTTAAATAAAATTATAAGCCTCATTTTGTAAAATGGTGAAAGACATGTTTTAAAATAGTACTACTTACAAAGAGCTTTCACTTGAATAGTCACACCATACAATGTAGGATTTGTCTTCAAAATCAAAAGGTAAATAATTATTAACTATCTTACAAGACTACATTGTTCACTTTGCAAGTGAAAGGGTTAATAGAATCCGGACCGGGCTCAGTATTTTTTAGGAAAAGCTTTTTTCCCTTTTTCCTTAGTAGTAGTGTATTAGCTAGGTATGGTAAATTTAGAGATAGTCAACAAGTTATTGAAGTCAAACATGTGATGATAAAAAACTATAGAGATAATTGCATAGTTAGACTTAATTAGTACATATATTTCTTCAATAACCACACATGAGCTTCTGGATATAGACTGTGCTGAACTGCCGAATAGATTCCATAAACAATATTTCACATTCATCGTCCTCGACTGCTGATTCCGTGAACAACTGTCAGATAAATACTAAACCTTAACCTGTTATCCCAGTGTAAACAGCTTCAATATAAAGTGAAGTCTATGCCTTTGTTCAAAGTCACTGGTGCCAACGGTATTACTGCAAAACAGGCTGGTGCTCCAGGTACGTCATCATCGCTACCAAGATTAATCGAGTATGTATGCTACAATAACAGTTCTTTTAATCATCAGCTTGGAAGCTAGCCAATAGATTTTCCGTGTTTACGACAGACTCAAAATTATTCAAGGAGCATACACATACTGAAAATCAAAACCTCCATTATAAACTGCATTGTTCTTTCCCCAAGACACCCACAACCAAAACTGAAATTGTCAGGCTAATTGACCAGATGCCGTAGAAATTGGAGAATGACCATATGAATGGTTAGATACAGCGAAAAGCTTGCATCTAT